AAAAGAAATAGAAACAAGTTCTGCTGTACATGGCTGTAACTTCCATTTATCTGTGAGATTTGTATGCAGTGGCTGAAATGGGGAATATCTTATGCTGCCTCACTCCAAACCCATATGCCAGCACCTTGCCACTGTCAGAACAACTAGATCACACATGGGGACTCCCAAAATTATGCCTCCTGTCCACAGCCTGTGTGTAACAGCTCTGTAAGCATTTGCATAACTTACTGCAGGAATGGCTGTACTGGGTGTGATTTGAAAGAGCAAATTTGAAAGAGCAAATTGGGGATGAGCTTGTAGATTAAGGTGCCTGAATGTTTATATGTAGATGTGTGCATGTGAGCTAAGTGTCTGAGCCAATATCAAATGAACTTGTACCAGCTGGGATGCTTCATGGGACTGGTAGGACCTGCAGGAGAGCTCCACTGTTTCATTCTGAGCCAGCAGCTGAAGCTGAGCAGATCTGCCCCAGGGGTATCCAAAATATCCTGGAGAATCTTTTTGGCAGTTATTTTATTTACCTGTCGTGTCACTCAAACTCACCTTTGGAGTTCAAGTGGGCAGACTCTGCTTGTGGACAACTGGGGCACAGGCCTGTCTCTGTGTGTCACCTTTGTTGTGGGGAAAAGGATGAGACTGGCAGGTGAAATTTTATTCAAGAGTTAGATTTAAGACACAAGGTACTACTGTACTTGTCATGTGAGCAGCTCAGCTTTATAACCCTTAGGGGAAAGATTTTCTTTTTTGTTGTTTTTTCCCCCCATTAAGTTCACCAAATGAATGAGTTGCTAAAGCCAAAAACAGCGAATGATTTGCCAAACCCAATCCAGAGTCATAAGGCAGACTCCCAAAATTGATTAGGTTATAGGTTTTCTCCTCATCAGGTTTTGTCTTTCTTCTGTGGTCCTGAGAGCTCGTCTAGTCATAATGCTGCTATCTCTGGTATATTCTGTGGGCTCTAACATACTCTTACATGACGTAATTTCTCCTCTGAGCCCTTTTCCAAGCCAGTGTTGACCCACTTCAGCTGTTCTTACAATTATGGGGCTTCTTTTAACCTGTAGAGTAGCAGACCTCTTATGAACTTTCCCGAGTCTTTGCATGTGTGTCTGTACATGACCTTCATGAGAGGTCATACCTCCTGATTTAAAGCTTGGCTTCACAAAGAGCAAACTGTTCGGAGGACAGAAAAGCAGCAGTGAGGTGCCCTACACTGCCTTGCCTTTCCCTCTAGTGAGAATGATGCAAGCTGCTCCCCCTCTTGTACCAAACCTATAGGTCAAGAAGAAAAGAGGGAGAGGGGTCCTGACATCTCTCCTGGTTGGGGTCTTACCCATAGGAAAGAGAAAAGTGGCAGGCAGGCAGAGAGGGTTTTGTCCAGGCACAGCTAAAATGTTCAGGAGTGCCAAAGCTGGCAGCACTGCTACTAAACCCACCACTCACTTCCACGTGGGAACGGTATTTTTTTGGTTCCTTACATCCATTCAACATTATTATGTACTATTGCCAACCCCAGGAGAAACATGTGTTTTGAAAAATCAGATTGTTTGCAAAGTTACCAGATTTGCCCATTTTAGATCTCATTTTATTCTGGAGATATTCAGATGGAAGCAACATGTTTGGTGTACTTATACTTACAAATTTGATTTCATCTTAAGGTTCAGCATTTTGACATATGTAATTTAGCTTATAACAAGAGGTTCGTGCCTCAGAGCAACACATTTTGAGGTCACAGGCAAAAAGCCAATCTCCAGCTACTGTACTGAGCTATACTTCAAATTCTCGGAAGGAAGTCAGAATGGACAAGGCTTTCCTCATTTTTAGTAATGCGTCAAATTCTTACAAGGTAAGAATTTCAAAAGAGGAAGACCAACCAAAAACAAAAAACAAAAGACCTTGATGTGGATCTTTGCAGCCAAATTCCTGCAAGCTGGTCTGTGCTGGCCAGCCCTCACACCACCAGGAAACGTATTGGCTGCACAGATACTCACAAATCATTTTTCATACCTCATTTCAGGTCTTTTGAGATTAATTTTATCATAAATTTGGAAGCCTGATTTAATTGCACTGATTATATTTTCTCCTGGGAGTTGATGGATTACTACTTACCATCTCCTCACTGTGCATAATGAACCACACTGAGGCTTTCTCTTATTTATACCTGCTAAAAGTCTAGGAAATTAGTTGCAATAGGCATTAAAGAAACATGTAAGAAATCGCCCTAAACCATTTGCTACATGTTCGTACTTCTTTCATAGGTCTGTTCTCACATAAGATTATAATGATTTAGTTCTTCTGGAAGTAATTGCAGAAACTCTGTTTTAATTCTCTATGGGGAATCCATTGAAGGCAGAGCATATTTCAGACATGTGAGACATCCAGTGTTCCTCACCACATCACTTTATTAACATCCTTTCTCATCTATTCATTTTTGAACTGAATGCTGTCGATGTGGGAGTCATTAAGGACACCACACTCCTTGGTACCTGTGATTCCATCAGATGCAATTGTGCGCATGTGGGAGGCTTGATTTTGCAACTCCTGGAATTTGCCGCTGGATTAGGTGACATCCTGACATAGAATAAAGTTCACCTGTCACCTGCAGGTGCCAGTCACCAGAGTATCTCATCTTTTGTATGGTTTTGGAAACCCATGTTGGCTCCTGGTCTCTGAATGACATTCCCTGCTCAGCGTTCATCTCATGCAAAAAAGCTTATAATCAGTATTTCTCATTTATGTGGAAAGAAAAACTGTCTGTTCCTAAAATTAAGTAAACCTTAAAACAATGTGCTTTCTGTCATGTTAATTCCTTCTGTGGATTTGAAAATGAAAAAAAGAAGCCTTGATTTCTTGGATGAGGAGGGCTCACTAGGGCTGACGCCCCACCCCCATCTTCACATTTCCCGTTATAGTTTTTTTCTTATACTTTTCCCTTTCTCACTGGCTTTTGCAGCCTGAGCAATAGCCAAGTTGGGAACAAGCACATCTCTGGCTCAGCCTTGATGCTGAACTGCTAGCTAGGGACTGTTTCTGAATCCCCTCAGGTCCTCCCTGCTCCCTTGCAGAAAAGTGAGGTCGCATGGTGAAGAGGCTCCTTCCTGGGCAGTCATGTGCCTTGTCACCCAGTGGGACACAGAGGTCAGGGGAAAGTCCGTGCCACACTGCTTAGGCAGCTGGACACCATGTAGACCCTCAGGATTTCGAGCACAAGTTGCGGCTGCGAAGGGGTTTCTTCTGCTGATTGGGGTGTTGGGTAGGATGCTGCAAAGCACCCAGCCCAGCACGCTCAGTTGAGAGTGGAGATGGGGGTGACCCACATCTCTTTCCTTTACTGAGCTGATGAAAACAGGATTTGGAAAGCTATTCACGCTTTAATTTGTCTGTCTGGTCACTCCCTTTTGTAAATTGCGTTTTCTCAAATGCGGTAACACCTAAAGGTGGATCTTTCTTTCAGATATGACAATCATTTCCCCTTAATTAATCTTGATAGTTTGTTCATCTTTGCAGAACAGATCTTCACGAGGAGAAAGAAAGGCACATTTCTTTCAGGAGCAGGTTATGAACACACTGAATTGAAAAGCTGTGGTGTTCTGTCACATTAACTCGGGTCCTACAACATAGCAGTCGTGCTTGATAAATGGCAACATTAAGAATAACATTAGAAAACACATGCACAGGGTTGTGATGGCAACAGGGATATCTAAATAGCTGGTGTTACACACATCATCTTCCTCATTTATGCCTTTGGGAATAATAGACTCATAGGGGAAAAAAAATCAATATTTCTTTCAATTTTTTGTCACAGTTGGCAAAATATGTGGATTGTAACTGGACCTTCTACTGAGTTATAATCCTGTAACTTAGTGCTATGAAAAAATACAGAGTTATGTTATATTGAATATAGAAGTATTTGACACATACCATAGTTCATTACACAAATTATTATATAATTATATATTTATTTACATAAACTATGAGTTTGGGTGTGTAATGTTAGATAAACCCACATGAGTATTTTTCCAGGTTGTCTGACACTGTTGTGAGCAGGAGGGTGACTGCCTATTTAAGGCTGCAAGTGGCAGCGAGCATTGTTTTCTTCTGCCTTTGACCTGCCTTTCCCTGTTTTTGAATGGCTGGTATTCAGTGTTTACGTTAAGCCAGTTATCTGGATAGGGCTTGTTTGTTAAAAGTCACAGACATTATTTTAAATCACATCGCTGTCAATGAATCTCTTTAGTGGTCATGTTACTGTCAAGTCCTGAAGTTTTTTGACTTGAACTGAAGCACAGACAGCTTCAAGTGATATCCCTTGATATCAGTGCAGCCTTAAACAGTGGCAGGGTTGTTGTTTTTTTTCCAGAGCCCTTGGTGGTGTTTACACCTCTTCATTTCAATTGATAGTAACAGCACCCTTCCACGCAGTCTGGCAAGGTCAGGTTTAGGCTAACACTGACCACTTCCATTATCACACCAGTGTCATCTTCTGTTCTCTCTCCTATGTATAGTTCAAATCAAATACTTATTTCAAAATAATATATTTATTCTCCTTTTAAACTATCCTTGGATGTGATGACCCAAAAATCTTGAAGCCATTTAAGGTACCTTTGTGCTGGAGCTGGTGGCTATGTCCTGACTCCTGCTAGACACAGCTTCTGTGGAGGAAGGTTTTCTATTGGGGGCATCCCTGGCAGGAGGGCATGGAAGGAAATTTGGACAATGTAAACATGTGCCTGCTCTGCAGCTGTTTGCGTGGTGATGCAGCATTTAGGTACAGCTGCTCTGCCAACCAGGCAAAGCTGCCTCTGGGGAGCAGAACCTGCCCCTGGGGAGCAGGACAGAGCAGATGCAGGGCAGCATGGGGAACAGCTCTGGCTTTTTTCCTTTAATTTCCATATAGGGGAAGGGAGCAGAGGGGGCTCAGTGGGTTTGAGAACAAGACACTCTTCAGAATTACTCATCTGCATTTCTTTTTTGTCTCCTTTTTCAATTTGTTTTTGCAGAGTTAAATGTAAGAGAATCTGACACAAGAGTGTGTGATGAATCGTCATGTAAATACGGCGTGTGCAAGGAAGAGGGCGACGGCATGAAATGTGCGTGTCAGTTCCAGGTAAGGGCTGCTCATTTTTTTGTCTACTGTTTCTGATCAGTCTTTCAGGTGCATTGAAGTATTTGTAGCATCACTGCTTTAAAGATTTTGCTCATCAACAAGCCTATATGGCCTAACCATAGGCTCCTTTTTTAATTGCTATGATATGTGAATGAACTTCCTATCCAGGAAGCGTGTGGTGAGAGTGGCATCACAGTTGCTTCTCACACAGCTTTGGTAAGCCAGCCAGCAGTGCAGACTGATGGTGGGAAGAATAGAGAGCCCTCATGTGCCAGGCACCCACATTCCTCACAATCAGCACGAGTGGAGGTGGGGAGTGCCAGGTGACACCCACTCAATGCCTCCCCACCTTGGCTTACCCTGCCCCGAAACAGGTCAGGAGGTGACACAAAGCAGGGTGTGTAAGTGTTGTCACACACATCAGATGAAGATTTATAATTTAATGGGGTATTCGTTATGGATTGCTTACTCTAATACCCAGTATTTGGAGGATTCTTCCCCACTCTGCTTTTTGCCAAATGTGGTGCGTTAGACCCTGGAAGACCTTAAGGCATTTTGAAAATCTAATAATAACAAGATCAACAGTGATCATGAAGTTTATGAGTAAAACCAGTGAATTAGTCCTCCTCAGAGGGAAAAAAATGTCTAGAAATTAGATTAAAAAAAAATCCTCTGAACTTTTAAAAAGGAATGAATAGCAAGTTCAATTTGCTTCATTGGTTTTTGAATCTTCAGTTTACAATTTTTATAATATCATGGCTATCCTTCCTCTCCTGTCACCCCTCACTTTTTAGAGAAAAGACAATATTGAGGTACTTTCTTTTACGGTTTATAGCCACAACAGATGTATCAAATATTATGAGCATCAAGGTAAAACTGCAAGAGATGGCAGTGTCATCAACCAACCCTGGAGTGGGATACCCTTCAGTGTTTTAAAAATAATCATGTGTTCTTTTTCCAATAAATAATAAATCAAGGGGAACCAGAATAGCAACAGTGTGTGTGTGATCTTCCACTGGTTTTGAATCCCAGTGTTTCAGAGCTGGCTTTTGATGTGGTGGCATTCAGGTGGGTACCTATGCTGGGGGCATCCTGCAGTCTAGGTCCCATAAGAACAAAAGAATCTGACTGCCTTTTAAAGGGAGAAAAAATTCTTAGAAGAGGTTTATTCATCAGCCTTCACTCTAGCTGTAACTTTTATTTATGAAAAATAACAAGATCAAAACTCAGCAATGATTTAAAAAGAAAGGAAAAGAAATTCTACCCTAGGCTAAGCAAAGGTTTCATTTATTTTTTTGTAGGTGGTAAATTTTATGACTTCCTAATATCCAGGTCATGAGAACTAAAAAAGAAACTGCCCAATGTGATAAACTGAGACTTTTTCTCGAAGAACTCATTTTTAAAACCAATATTATTTTTACGCTAATTATAAGTTTACTTGTGCTTCTTGTAAAATTTATCCTCTACTAAGGAAAGAAGTGTAAGCACGAAGAGCAGGTAGAATTCTTCCTGTAACTCTCAACCTTAGTTATTAATCTGAAACTAACACCACCAGAATATCCCAGGCTACAGACATCCAGCCCAAGTTGTTAGTTTCTCTATGTGCAAGATATATTGGGGATATTGGCCTATTCTCCCTGAAGTGCATTTCCTGTTCCCCACAGCTGGGACAAAGCTTATGGATAAATGCACCACTGGTCTGATGCAGCAAGGTGTTTCTTACACTTTAAAACTGCTGGTTTTAGAAAAATGCACTCTATCAAGAGAGCTGTCTAATTAGAATGGTCTTGGGTCTGGGTGCTGGTCAGGTGAGGATTTTCCTGCTGGAGGGGGACTGCTGCCGTGTGTGAGGCTGCAGCCCTTGCTGCCTGACAGCAGGATGGTTTGGGGAATGGAGGCACAGCTATTCCCAGCCACCCCTGAGCTAAGACCAAGGCTGGCACAAACTGTCCCTTAGGTTCAGGAAAATACACGGAGATTTCAGTTCCTTTCCAAGCAACACCACTCATTCCTCCTCCTCCTTATCTGCCACTGCTCCTGGCCTGGCAGCGTTTCTTAACCCTTTGGTCTTCTAAAACTTTAAATATTAATGAGTGGTAGTTATTCCTCCTAGAATCTCCTTGGAGATGACTGGCTGCCAAATTTCAGTGTTGTCATTGAAACAGCTTATAACGTCATGGCAGCAAAAGCTCTGCAGGCTGCGACCTCTCTGAACACCTTGTAGGCTTTCTCTGTCTTTCCAAGTCATCTGACATAGAGCAAGATACCAAAGTTTGATTCCCCAGAATCAAATTTACAAATTAGACCATAGGAGAGGTCCTGAAGGGTTCAGTTGGGCTCTGTTTGCAGTGACCTTAATAATATCCTGACTTTCTTCAGGCCTAGTCAGGCAAAAGGACAACTCCCTGTTTATTATAATGGATGTGGCATAAAACACATGTTCACCAAACATTTGGAAAGGTCTTTTGCTGTAATTTCAATGATGTTTTGTAAAACCTAAATTAAAAACTGATCAACGCATAGTGAGCGTGTTATGAACCAACAGGAGGAGGTGAAGTGAGGTGAGGTGAGAGAGCTAGCACGGGGCCAGTAAGAAAGGCTTGACAACAAATGATTTAATAAGATAACTGCTTTAGTAAGACAGAATAGGAAAAGGAATATAGATGGCGAGTAAACCTTACATCCCTTCTGATGCTGGGCACCCTATAATCATGAGGCACTGGATGAAGCCTGGATGGATTTTCCCACAGGATGCCAGGCAGAGCAGATCCCATCCATGAAGAGATGCTCTCCCTGTTGGTCACTTGAGCTATTGGAGGATTTCCTTACAAGAAAACAACTCTACTCCTAAAGGATGTTTGCACAAGAACTTCTGACTGCACTGCACCAAATTGTTAAAGGCTTACGAAACTATAAAAAAGGAACCACTTTGCCTCTCATTTTCTATTCTCAGGACAGAAACTTGCAACTTTAAAGCATCACACAGCAACTTTAAGATTGAATAGAGAATTATCTATTGGAAAGTATTGTTCCCGCCAAGAGTCACATGTTTAATTATTCTCTAGAATTGACTGTTCAGTGTGAGATATGACAGGACAGACAGTTGTGATTGAACATCTGAGAGCTACTCATTATGGGAAAGTATTACAAAACTGTTAGAGATAATTTTCAGAGCTAGCAGCATGAGTTATTTCTGTCCGTGCATGCTTAGTTCATTCTCAGTTGGTCATCTATGACAGGATGACAAAGGAGAGAGGATAATTCCTTTCAAAATTATGTTTTAAAAATTGAATATTTTGAGGTCTGTGTATGCCAAAGCACAAAGAATCTGTTGTGGCAGAGACTGTTGTTTGGAATTTGGAGAAGAAACACTTGTCTTTTTCGGGGCAGTTCAGTTTATCTAATGCTGCTATTTCTGTGTGCAGTCTCACTGGTTGAACGATACTAGTTTAACCATACACTTGATATGGTTATGAAATATGGTGATTAGTCTGTGTATTTGTTCACTGTTTCTTCTAGTTTGCTTTTTTTGCTTTGGAGTTTTGAAGCCCAAATAGGGCAACATCTCCTTTTCTGCATAATGAAGTGAGGTTTGGA